CGGTTAGGGTTAGTTTTGGAGGGCGCTCGGTTAGGGTTAGTTTTGGACGGCGCTCGGTTAGGGTTAATTTTGGACGGCTCTCGGCTGACAAACGTACCTTTTTCCCCACACGCTCCCCTTCAGGCATTTTCCTCTTGGGAATGGGAGGAGGCGTTTCAGGTTTCGCTTGTTTTGCTTTAGGTGTTTGGCTGTTCCCTGAGTACAGGAGAAGACGAGATGTGAACCTAAGCCTGAACACTTAGGTATACAAGCATGCAACATTTATGCATAAAAACCGTTTAATAATCGACTCGCAGGCTGCCTTGGCAGCTTTATCTGTGAAAATGTTCTAAGTCAGAATGATGAAAATGAAAGATGACTTGAGAGGAGCTCACCAGCCTTTCTGGAGGTGGCAGCTTCGTGGGATGAGGGTGACGGAGAGTTCTCACCGCTGTCTCCCCCAGAGGAGCCCTTGTCGCCATTACCCTTTGATGGTCCTGCTGTCACCTCAAAATCACTATTTTCCTTGGAAATTCTATACAGTTCCTGCGAGAGAAGTGAGAAGTAGCAGTAATAAGCTCCCATTTCAGACTGAACAATCAGTCTAGGAAGCAAAATCTCATATATAGAAGTAGTTGGGTGGGTTCTGGTGGACTGACTGGCTGAAGTTCATGTAGAACTTCTTCAGTGTGCAACTTATGCTAATTACACTCAACAGCCACTTCGTTAGAGGCACCCTTTTGCCAACAGAACGGTCTGAATTCAACAAGTAGCTGGATCCTTTCCTTACACAGTCTGGTCCATGACATTTTTAGCTTTCAATGGTCTGGCTATTCCCCTCTGACCTCTCATTAACAAGATACAAATAAGCATGTGAAAATGGCCTCGGAACACTGGGTTCTTTTTTTGCTTATTACACAATTATCTGTAAACTATAGACATTGTAGCACCCAAAAATACTAGAAGAGCGGCTGTTTGAGACACCCGGACCACCATGTTGAAAATCATTGATTGCGCACGTAGCCAGATACTCTAGGCTGAGATGTTGGCATACATGAGCAGACACCAATGAAGTGGATGCTGAGTATGTACAGTAAACTGTAAAATGTACAGTATAAGGTACAAGTTGCTTTGGACAAAAGGGCAAGTTCAGCATTTACAAACAGTAATAAAGCCGTCCGTATATATTTGTTCATGGTTAATGAGGCAGAAGGCTGCACGGCATGAGGTGGTGTTATACTGCACTTTGAGCTGAGGAAGATTGGTGGCGCTCTTCCAGTCTTTGTCGTCCCGGATGCGGGTGCAGCGTGGGAAGCGGATGGAGATGCCGTCAGCCGTGTGCATCTCTGACTTCGAGAACTCGGCTCCTGTGATCTCCCAGACCGGAGCTTTCTAACCATGGCAGGGACACAGGACACAGGAGCGCCGTCAGGGACATGCTGCCAGTAGATAGAGAACTCCTCCCCATTAACATGGCAGTATCAGCATATCTTAAGAGGAAATCCACTTCACTAAATTGAATGAACACAATCTGTTGAATACTTACTTCCGGATCCCGGATAAGGAAATCTGGATAATAGTTCTTGACGATTTTCAGCCAGCTTGGGATTTTGCTTGGATCCTAGGAGACAAAGATATTTCCTTTCTTTGTGAAGTGGATGCAGTTTATGCATAGGATAGTGTTTCCCAACGCAGACCTTGGGGACTCAGACGGTCCATGTTTTTGCTCCCTCCCAGCTCCCAAATGAGCAAAAACGTGGCCTGACTGCAGGTCCCCGAGAACCGGATTGGGAAACACTGGCATAGGAAAACAGGGGAAGGTGCATCGTCTCAGAATTCTATGGCAGTTAGTTCATGCTCTACCTTGCTGATCTTGATGACATCCAGCTCTTTCTGCAGCCTGGCCAGGGTTGCGTCATCATACCCTCCAGAGCACTTGGTCACCGTGCACCACTTCTTTGACTCAGGATCATAACAGCCCATTAAGAAGCTGGACATGATCCCTCCTGTAGAAGGACATGGTTATACAAAAGCTGAGTCACCCTCTTCAAACTGAATCAATGTTTGTTTACGAGCGACGACATGCAGGTTGACATCTGAAAAATGCTTAGTGACCGAGCTCTCAGTGCACGCACTGGATGGCCTTACCGTTTGAACCTTTTCCATAGAAAGCGCCCAAAACCACAAGGTCTGCAGTGTCTGCCATAGCGCCTTCATTCAGATAGTCTTTCTTTACTTTCAGCCAGTGTCTCTTTCCAGGCTCATAGGGGCCCTTTTAACAAAAGACAATATTTTTCAGTCTCTGAGTGTAATACAGACATTACATTTGACTGGCAACAGACCCTACAGTTTCAGTCAAACTAACTAGATGCTGTCAGAACGCCAGTGTATAAAGGGTTTGCAAAGGACATCACAGCAAGCGGCAGTCACTGCACTCACACCCACTGAGTGGCAAATAGACTGAGTGGCAGCTTCAGCGCTTGGCTTGAGTGCCGCAAAAACACA